GGTGTCTTGGAAGAGGTCACATAGCTTCAGAGTGTCCAACTAAGAAAGACTATGCTAGTTAAGGAGGATGGAAAGATTATTAGCGACTCTTCTTCAGATTCTGCCCCACCTAGTGATGAAGAGGAGTATGAAGAGGAAACTATACCGGAAGGAGATTTGTTTATGGTGAGAAGGATGTTGGGCAGTCAAGCAATAGACGGTGATGAGAGCCAAAGGGAGAACATTTTCCATACTAGATGCCTCATCCAAGGAAAGGTATGTTCTTTAATTATTGATGGGTGGAGTTGTACCGATGTTGCAAGTGCTAGAATGGTGTCTAAATTAGGATTGGAGACTAAACCTCACCCACAGCCATACAAGCTTCAATGGCTTAGTGAGGATGGTGAAGTGACTATAAAAAGAGGAATGGTTTAAAAAGGCTATGCATTTGCAAAAGCCAATGCTTTTACTTTTGAGTAAAGAGAGTAATTTAAAAGATGCAGGTACTACTAACTCTCTTCCAAATGAGGTTTCTTCTTTGTTGCAGGAATTTGAAGATGTCTTTCCTAAAGAGGTGCCTCAAGGACTACCCCTCTAAGAGGCATAGAACATCAAATTGATCTCATTCCAGGAGCTTCATTACCTAATAGGCCAGCTTATAGGAGTAACCCCCAAGAAACCAAGGAGATTCAAAGTCAAGTGGAAGACTTGATGCAAAAGGGGTGGGTGCAAGAAAGTTTAAGTCCATGTGCAGTTCCAGTCATTCTAGTGCCTAAGAAAGATGGGACTTGGAGGATGTGCACTGACTGTAGAGCCATCAATAATATCACGGTAAAGTATAGACATCCCATTCCTAGATTGGATGATTTATTGGATGAATTGCATGGTGCTTGTTTCTTCTCTAAAATTAATCTGAAAAGTGGATATCATCAAATTCGGATTAGAGAAGGGGATGAATGGAAAACAGATTTTAAAACTAAATATGGGTTGTATGAATGGTTGGTTATGCCCTTTGGTTTAACCAATGCTCCTAGTACCTTCATGAGATTAATGAATCATATGTTAAGGGAATTTCTAGGAAAATTTGTTGTGGTTTATTTTGATGATATTCTGATTTATAGTAAATCCTATGATGATCATCTTGTGCATTTGAGGTGTGTTTTAGAAGCTCTAAGGCGTGAAAAATTGCATGCTAATGTGGAAAAATGTGAGTTATGTATGGAACATGTAGTTTTTCTTGGTTTTGTTGTTAGCTCACAAGGAGTGCAGGTTGATCAAGAGAAGGTGAAAGCTATTCAAGAGTGGCCAACTCCTAAGAATGTAAGTGAGGTAAGGAGCTTTCATGGCTTAGCCAGTTTCTATAGGAGGTTTGTCAAAGATTTTAGTACAATGGCTGCACCCTTGAATGAAGTGATTAAAAGGCATGTGGGTTTTACATGGGGCAAAAAACAATAGCAAGCTTTTGCTGCTCTTAAAGAAAAATTGACCCATGCACCTATTCTTGCATTGCCTAATTTTGTCAAATCTTTTGAGATTGAATGTGATGCATCCAATGTGGGGATAGGGGCAGTTTTGATGCAAGAGGGACATCCCATTGTTTATTTTAGTGAAAAATTAAATGGGGTCGTCCTTAATTATTCCACATATGATAAAGAATTGTATGCATTGGTAAGGGCTTTGCAAACATGGCAGCACTATCTCTTGCCCAAAGAGTTTGTTATCCATAGTGACCATGAGTCCTTAAAGTAATTAAAAAGGCAAGGCAAGCTTAACAAAAGGCATGCCAAATGGGTTGAGTTCTTGGAGCAATTTCCCTACGTGATCAAGCACAAGAAAGGTAAGTCCAATGTGGTAGCAGATACACTTTCAAGAAGGTATGCTTTATTATCTACTCTTGAAACTAAGTTCATTGGCTTTGAGCATATTAAAGCATTGTATGAGCATGATCTAGACTTCTCACAAATCTATAAATCTTGTGTGCATGCTGCCTAAAATGGTTTCTTTAGGCATAATGATTACTTGTTTAAAGAGAAGAGATTGTGTGTGCCTAAAAGTTCCATTAGAGAGCTACTTGTGAGGGAGGCACATGAGGGGGGATTAATGAGACATTTTGGGGTCCAAAAGACTTTAGACATGTTGCATGAATATTTCTATTGGCCACACATGAAACGTGGTATACAAAAACTGTGTGAAAGATGTATTGTGTGCAAGAAGTCTAAATCTAAAGTAATGTTGCATGGGCTGTATACTCCTTTCCCAATTCCTGACTTCCCCTGGATTGATATCTCTATGGATTTTGTGTTAGAACTACCTCGGTCTAGAAATGGCAAGGATTCTATTTTTGTTGTGGTGGACAGGTTTTCTAAGATGGCGCATTTCATCCCATGCAAAAAGGTTGATGATGCATGCCACGTTGCTGACTTGTTCTTCAAAGATGTGGTAAGACTCCATGGGCTTCCTAGAAGCATTGTCTCTGATCGAGATTCAAAAATTTTAAGTCACTTTTGGAGGACCTTATGGAGTAAGCTCGGAACTAAACTTCTCTTTTCTACTACTTGTCATCCACAAACTAATGGGCAAACTGAGGTAGTGAATAGAACTTTTTCTTCTCTTTTAAGAGCTGTAATAAAAAAATATTAAGTCATGGGAAGAATGTCTGCCCCATGTTGAGTTTGCATATAATAGGGTAGTTCATAGCACTACTGGTTATTCTCCTTTTGAAATTGTTTATGGATTTAACCCTCTCACTCCTCTTGATTTGCTACCTTTACCTAACAACTCTGTTTTAAAGCATGCTGATGGCAGGACTAAGGCTGAATATGTTCGTAAATTACATGAGAAGGTAAAGACACAAATTGAAAAAAAAGTAGAGAGCTATGCTAGACAAGCTAATAAAGGCAGGAAGAAGGTTGTGTTTGAACCAGGTGATTGGGTTTGGGTTCATCAACGAAAAGAGAGGTTCCCTTCCCAAAGGAAATCTAAGCTTCAACCAAGAGGAGATGGACCATTCCAAGTCCTGTCCAAAATTAATGATAATGCCTACAAGATAGTCCTCCCTAGTGAGTATGGTGTAAGTGCTACTTTTAATGTGGCTGATTTGTCCCATTTTGATGTAGGAGAAGAGGACTACAATTTGAGGGCAAATTCTTCTCAAGAAGGAGGGAATGATGAAGACATAGGAGGTGGCATCACTGATATGAATAAGGAGACAATGCCAAATGATCCATTGCAATTGCCAAATGGGCCAATCACAAGGTCAAGGGCCAAGAAGTTTACGGAAGCTCTTAGTGGGCTAATTCTGCAAATGCGGACTAATCATGAAGACATCAAGTCCAAGCCATATCCCAATCAGAATTTAGTTAATGTCATCAATGTAATAAATGCTTAGTGGGGATGATTAGTGTCTTTTCATTTGCTAGTCTTTTTCTATTCTTGGAGGGATGTTCCAAGTATAAATAAGGGAGGATACAACTCTTGTAATCAGATTTTGAATATCAAGTTAACCTATTTTGGTGAGACTAGTTCTCTTGGGTTCTTTTGAGAATCTCTGAACTTATCAAGGGTTCTTATCCTTGTGGCGTTCATAGGCTTATCAAGGGTTCTTATCCTTGTGGTGCCTTCCTACCCTTGTTTCTTGTTTTAATTTTCATTTTACCCTACCTCAGATCAAATCTCGCGATCCACTTGTCCGTTTTCGGTGATTCTTGGGTCTATTTCGCGTTTTGAAACGTGCTCTTTCACGTCATTTTGGAATCACTCAATTCCGAGTTGTGCAGCGTGAGATATGATCATTTTTAGCCAGGACGCGTTGGAGGCTGAATTTTGGGCATAAATTCCATTCCTAGTTGATCCAATCCGGTCACTTCTCTTGAGGTTCATATCACGGCTGGTGCCGTTGTGATCGCGCTTCCAAGACGAGCACGCCGGTATGCAGTTCGCCGGAAAACTCCACCGGACGGTGGTCATTGACGTGGACAGAGGCTTGAATGCGGAAGAAAATGTACCGGAAACTGACAGCAAGACACTTCCGGAAAAAAATTTAAAAGAAGATTAACAGTGAGTTCACCGGAGAAAAAAAAATTTCAAGGTGTACATGGTATCCCAAGGTTCTGTACATGATATCAGAGCCTCATGTCGTGTCCCGGGTTCAAACCTCGCCGCCCTCACTTTCTTTTGTGGAATTTCTTAGCACAGGTAGGTGGGTCTGTGCATTGTCCACCCTTCAAGCCTAATGGACTCTCGTGTGAGGGGGCGTGTTGAGATATATAGTCCCACATTGGTTGTATGAGCAACTAATGTGGAGTTTATAAGGCCTTGAGCATCCTCACTCTTTGAGCTAGCTTTTAGAGTGGTGTATCTCAAAGTTCTTTATATATATATATGAAGGTGAATAGTTAGAGCTGTCATGCCAGGGAGGACAAGTAATTTCAGAAATCCAATTTGCTAGCTTTGGAGGCCCAAAAGGTAAGTGTGGTTCTTTCAAGAAAGGTTCTTGGGATGCTACTGATAGCCAATTTGTGCTGGAAGCTGCTTGCATTGGGAAAGAGATCGAGTTGCGGATTTAAAGTAACAAAAGAAGCATTTGGTGTATGGTATAGCTAGACTAGGTGCAAGCATCCTGCCGAGTCTATTTTTACTCCAAATCCAAATTCAAGTGGTGGAAATCAAATATTCATGGGTAGAAGCTCAAATTTTATGTTATTGGCATATAAGTCGAACTGTAACAAAAAAATTTATTTTTTATTTTTCGGCAGAAACATTTTTTTTTAATTCATGAACAAAACTGTAATATATACACAAATAATTTCTCTATATATATATATATATATATATATATATATATATATAATTCTTTACAACAAAATTTATCTTTTCTTACAAAAAAATATTCGTTCTTGTTTACCAATGTTATGGGCACAGTAAAGTTTTGAATTGACTTGGAAATAAGCATAATGTTTAATTCAACTAGTTTATAGCGGCTTTTTGACCCTTATGACCCTTAATTAATAACTAATTACCAAATTGCCCTTCATTCAAAACTATTTCGAAAATTTACCCTCCCCAACAAACATAACACCAATTTGCCCCTGTTTGACCGTTGACCACGAAGCCTACCCGGGTACACCATTACCTACCCGGATAATTTTTGAAACTTTTTATCTACCCGAGTATGTAGGGGTGTACCCGGGTAGAGTTCTTGAATCTGGGAAAATGGTTGAATTATTTACCCGGGTATGGAGCAGTGTACCCGGGTAAACATTGACGGTAGGGTTTTAAAATACCCCAGCAGCCTCATTTCGAAAACCCACAAAAGGGGTACCCGAGTAGAGCTGCTGGGGGAGTGTCTTCTTGAGCGATTTCAGGCATAATCTTGCACCAATTCGTCTTGTTTCTGATCATCATTCGCGGACCTTGCAACCTCTCTGCCTTCTACCGATTGAAATCGATCAAAGGTGCATTTTTTTTTCTTCAGTTTTTTCAATTATGTTATGATTTCTGTTCTGATTCATTGTATTTTCGTTTATATCATTTGATTCTGTTACGAACTCCACATCTTCATCATCATTTATATCGTTTCCAATGTAGTATATTGTATCCATATCCACTACAGTCTCTAACCTGGCTATCATGCGGTGGATGGAATGTATGCCTTCTGACCCCATTTTTTGAAGAATTCTTTCCTTCAGTTCATTGCATGTAGTGCCCACTTTGATTTTCATCGTTTTTGTTTTTCCTTCAAATCGGACATCGTTCGGACCTTCAAAATGCCTCCCATTGTAGTAAATAACTATAGGAACCATGTTTGGACTTGAACTCATCTTTCACACAAAAATTAGATCTAGGTTTTGGGTTTGGAGGTTGGTTCGGATTTTTGAGCACAAAATGGGAGTGTGGAGATGTAATCTCAATGTCCCACCAAGATTCAGCTTTCTGAAATGATGAGATGAAATATGTGTGATGTTTCGGATTAGATAGGGTAAGAGAGAGAGATTTGGGGTTTCAAAAACCCTATACCTCGCAACAATGGCCGAAACCCATACATATTGGGGTTTCTGGACGCGATTTACCCGGGTACACTGATCCATACCCGGGTAAATAATTCAACCATTTTCCCAGATTCAAGAACTCTACCCGGGTACACTCCTACATACTCGGGTAGATAAAAAATTTTCAAAAATTACCTGGGTAGGTAATGGTGTACCCGGGTAGGCTTCGTGGTCAACGGTCAAACAGGGGCAGATTGGTGTTATGTTTGTTGGGGAGGGTAAATTTTCGAAATAGTTTTGAATGAAGGACAATTTGGTAATTAATTATTAATTAAGGGTCATAAGGGTCAAAAAGCCAGTTTATAGCTATTATATTAACCCTTTTCCACGAATGCATTTTCAATTATCGTGCACACAACACTTCATTTAGTTTAAATATGAGGAAAATGAGAGGATTTATCATACCTT